GCGGCCCTGTGGACTGTAGCACGCCAGGCTCCCCTGTCCACAGGAGTCTCCGGGCAAGAACACTGGAGTGGGTTGCCATTTCCTCCTTTCTACTCCTCCAAAACTCTGTCTCCATATTTACATTTAGCATCAGAGAACAGAGGCCGGTTTTTCAGCAACACACATGCTAAAGCTAAGCGTTCCCATGCTGCCACTAAAGATCCCATGTGCCGCAGCGGAAATCAAGATCCTGTGTGTCACGGTGAAGCAGGTGCCCAGCCAAGAGAGAGACGGGGTGGGGGGGACTGCAGGGCGAGCCCCAGGCCGAGTCTCTCGGCTCTACTCCTCCCCAACCCGTCACTCACTCGCTCGCTCATTCATTCACTCACTCATTAGCTCACTCATTCATTCACTCACTCATTTATTCACTCATTCACTCACTCTCTTGCTCATTCATTCACTCATGCTTATTCACTCAGTCACTCACTTGCTCACTCATTCACTGACTCACTCATTTATTCACTCACTCGTTCACTTGCTCACTTATTCATTACTATTTATTCACTCACTCATTCACTCGCTCACTTATTCATTCATTCACTCATTCATTAGCTCACTATTCACTCACTCATTCACTCACTCACTTGCTCACTTGTTCATTCATTCACTCACGCTCTTATTCACTCACTCACTCATTCATTTGCTCACTCATTCATTCATTCAGTCACTCACGTGTCAGGTCATCCCAGCCACTGTCTACGGGAGCCAGGACCCATCCTTTCTCTCTGCTCTGGATCCTGGTAGGCTGCAGGGGGTCTCTGGGTGCCTGCCCACCCATCCACTCATTCCCTCTACCAACACTCTTTTGAACTGTCCGTTGGTGCCCAGCACCAGGTCTGGGACAAAGGCTGTGTCCCCACCTCAGCCCAGCCCACTGCTGGGCATTACAGACGTGAAGGCCGTGAGTCTAGCACTCCGTGTGCCCGTGTGTCTGGCTGGGGTCGGGGGGGGTGGCAGCACCCACCCCTCTACGAGGGAGCCCAGAAAAGTCACTGGACAAGCTGGGCTGGGGAGGAAGGTGGGGGGCCCTGCTGTGGACGGCCCCACGGCCCAACCCTGGGCTTGCTCAGACCCTCGGTGGCGATGGTGTCGGTCAGCTCCCCGCCTTCCCTGGGCCTGGGCTCTGCCCACTGGCCCCTGTGTAGCGGGTGGGCCTGCCCTCCACAAACGAGTGCTGGGCCAGGCACAGGGGTCTGAAGAACAGGGAGGACTGGGGGAGGGCAGGCCCACGCCCCAGACAGCCGGGCAGGGGACCAGGGAGGCGGCCCCTTGACTCCCTGCGGCGAGTCCCAGAGACCCGGGGCCAGGGGCCGGGCTTGACCCTCGCTGTGGCGCGGACCGCCCGCGGCGTCTCAGGCCGGCCCAACACTGCCCCCTGCAGGTCGCCTGCGCTCCCGACTCAAGCGGCCACAGCAACCCGGTCAGTGCCTGGGGGGCTGGGCGCCTGAGGGTCCGGAGAGCGGCGGCCGGGGGGCGCACGGGGGCCTGAGACCCGGACCGGGCGCCAGGGCCAGGAAGGGCATGTCTGTCCTGACACGGACAGCCCCGCGAGTGTGCCTTCTGCCCCGCGGACACGCCCCACACATAGACCCGGGGACACGCCCCCACGCGGTCCTGGGGGACACGCCCCACACAGCCCCCGAGGACACGCCCCCACGCGGTCCCAGGGGACACGCCCCACACAGCCCCCGAGGACACGCCCCCACGCGGTCCCAGGGGACACGCCCCACACAGCCCCCGAGGACACGCCCCCACGCGGTCCCGGGGACACGCCCCACACACCCAGGCACCCCCCGCCTCCCCCCGCATCCCACCCCAGGAAGCCCCCAGACAAGCCCCGGCTAAGTCAGGAGGTCCCTGCTCATGCCCTGCCCAGGCGGCTCCAGCTGCTCCCCACCAGCTCCTGTCTCCCAGTGACCCGGGTGCCACTGGGCCCTCCCTTTTGGGCCCCCACGCCAGGCTCAGGAACAGGAGCCCTGCACCGGGGCAGCCAGGGGCAGGGAGGGAGCTCTGGGGGCATGCCCGGGTCTCACGGGCACAGACAGACGCCACCGGTGGGTTCTTCGCTGAGGGCAGGCGGCATGGAGGGGTGGCCAGCCCCAGGGAGAGCTGTGTGCCGCTGCCTGGCTGCGCAGCAGTCTCCACTTACTTGGACTGTGAGGGGCTGAGGGGGTTTGGGGTTTGGCCTCCGCTGGGGGTCGCTATGCATGCAGGCAGCGCTTGACTGCGGGGGGAACCCATGGCTGGAGAGAGCTGGGGTCACCCCCGGGAGTGTGTGGCAGGGTGGGGACACAGAGGCTCAGCGGGGAGCCCTGTGGTCAGCCTACTCTGGCCAGCCCCCCAGTGAGAGGGCTGAGACGGCCCAGGCGGGCCCTCTTGGGGGGCAGGGGCTGGCGGTGATACCCATGGACCTGGGCGTCTCCGTGAGGCGGGTGCCAGCCCATGGTGGGTGCGGCCACAGCTGCCCGGAGGACAGGCGGCAGCAGGGGGCCTTGGGTGAGATGGCAGCCCGCATGGTGGGGTCGTGAACTGCTCCGGCCTCCACTGCAGGGACACTGATCCCACAGCCCCTGAGGCTGAAGGGTCACGATCCGGCTGCTGTCGCTGGGCTTCGGGATGCGGGGCTGTGTCCCGCCAACCTGCAGACGCTGCCTTCTTGCCGTGTCCTCGCAGTGGAGGCAGAGAGGCCTCGACGTGAGGACACTCGTCCATCCCATCACAGGAACCAGCCCTCAGCTTCCCCCAAAGGGCCCACCGCCTCCTGATTCCATTGTCTTGGCCTTAGGGCTCCAGCCCCTGAATCTGGGGGGCACGAACGTCTGTTCTGTAAGTGGGGTTATGGGTCCCACCGCCGGGAGGAGCTCACTGACTGTGCATCCAGAGGCGGCTGCCAGGGCTGGGCCCACGCAGCCTCCGCGGCCTCCTTGCTGGCTGACCCCTTCCCGCCCGGCAGAGGCCCCTGGCCATGGTGATGGTGTGCTGGGCGCAGGGGTGCGGAAGCCAGGGCTGGGGCTGCGTGCCCGGCTCGGGTCATGTTTACCCACAGGAGCCCGGTGCCAGGCCCCCGCCCGGCCTCTCGGCCCTGAGTTGACTCGGGCCCCAGGATAAACACCCATTCAGCTGCACAAGGCCTCTTTGTCCAGGGCAAGGCTGCCGGCCCAGGACGCTGTCCGGTGGCCCGTGTCCTCAGCGTGGCCAGCCGCCCCTTGCGGCCTTGTCCGGGCCCTGCTCAGAGGCCCCAGCTGGGGACAGGGCCCTGGGTGGCTTGTGGAGTGGCAAGCAGCAGGGGGCAAGCCTGCGGGCCTTCTCAGAGCGGCTGAGACCCCGCCAAGCCATGTCGCTACAGCCTCGGGGCCCCCCGCCCTCGCCAGGCATGCGTGGGAGGCGGGGGTGGGGGGGGCCCAGCGCTGCAGGCGGCCCTTGCCCACCCCAGCCCCTGCAGGTGGGCCCACAGACCCCTGGGCAAGGCGCAGCCAGCAAGGGCAGGGCCTGGGGTTGGAGGTGGCTGGCTTGGGGCTCTAAGGCTCAGTCTTGGGGCCAGCCGGGGTGACTCCTGGTGGGAGACCCGGGACCCTGCAGCCCTGCTCCTGGCTGGGTTCGGGTGCCGAGGACGCCCCCCCAGGAGTTAAGCGGAGAGTGGCCTGCCTGGGCCAGGGTCCCGCAGGCCCAGCCCAGCAGCTTGGCCCCGACGTGGGAGCCGCGACAGCTTCTTGAGCACGGGAGGGCTGTGTGTGACTCAGGTCAGGAGAGGCCTGCTGGCGGCTTTACTGAAGATGGGGGAGTTGGGGGACCCACAGGGGTCCCTGCAGGCTGGACAGGAGGGACTCGAGTATAGGCCCCGGGAAGCCTGGGGCTGGGAGGAGCGGTCCCCTGGTCCCTGCGGCTCTGGACCCTGTTGGCTCCTCTGGGGGCCTCAGGGGCGCCCCGGGGTGGGGGTTGGGGGTGGGCATCGCCAGGGTCCTGTCCTCCTGCAGCTTGTGGCCAGCAGCGACCCCTGGTGGCGGCCAGCATGCCACTGAGGGTGTCTGCGGCCTGCTGCCCCTCTGTGGGGACCGCCGCTCTGTGTGCTGGTGGCCCCCTCCTCAGGCCAGCGCCTTGGGGTTGGGGTGACGTGCAGACCCTGGGAGTGCCCTGCAGCTGTTCCCGGGTCCCAGAGGTCGAGCTTCCATGACGGGTATCCAGCCAGCGGTCTGGCTGCCTCCTGCGTGGTCCCGCTGCCCTGAAGGCTGGGCCTGCTAGGTTCAGAAAGGCCCCTGCGGGCCTCCCGGCCCTTGCTGCCCTCAGGCCAGGAACGCCTGACCCCGTCCCCGCCCCGTGGGAAGGGGCCCAGGAGGAAGACGAACTCTGCGCTGGTGACCAGGGTCTGGTCGGGGGGGACAGCCTCGCCTGGGGAGCAGGCCGCTGGCACTGGGGGTGGACTCTGAGCCCCACTTTCAGACTGTACTTCTGAGCCTTTCGTCTGTCAGGAGTGGCGGATGTCTGTCTGTCTGGCAGGGCTCTGCAGGGAAACCGTTGTGGAGACCCCCTGCCTGTGTTTCCATACACGGCATCTTCCCGGGTCTCGGGACTGGGGGCTTCCAGCTGGGAGAGGGGGCAGGTGGGAACTGCTGGTTGCACGACAGACCCCTCACCCCTGTGAGTGTCGCACTGCGGGCCTGCAGCCCTCCACGGGACACAGAGCCGACCTCCGCCACGGCTGCCGTGGTTTCCTTTCTTCCACAAAGGCATTGGTCTGCGAGATCCGTGGTCGATGCAGGCAGCGTCTACTCCAGCACCACGTGGCTGACCAGGCAGACCGGGGCGACCGGGGCCCACTTAGTCGACACTCAGGCGGCGCTGGCGGCCAGTCAGGTGGCTGCGAGGTGCAGGGCAGGGACAGGTCGAAGGTACCCGAGGGACGGCGGCTGTGGTCAGGTCGGCAGAAACTGCCCCTTTAATGAAGACCAGGACAGCTCTATTGCTTAGATTTAAGGGAAACTTTATTTTTTTCCGAAAGCAACCTAGTTTAAAAATGAATTGAAAAAAGAATTGACATCAATAGAGAAGAAAACCCTGGACAGACAGACAGACAGACAGGCAGGCAGGCAGGCAGGCAGACACAGGGAGACAGCAAGGCCAGGCCGCCGCATCAGATCCGCTTCATCTTGGAGATGAGGTCGTCGCAGATCCTGCTCAGCTCCTCGTTCTCTTTGCTCTGAGCAGGAGAAGCGGCCCCTGGATTCCTCACAGGGCTCGGAACCCGCAGGCCTGCCCGCCCCTGCCCCCTGCCCCCTGCGGCCTAGGGCCCCGCACCCACCTTCTGCTCCACCACCTTCTCCAGGGAGTGGACACGCATCTGCTCCTTCCTTAGGACTGCCTGCAGCGCCAGAGCGTCTGTCTGGGCCTTGCTCCGGACCTGGGCGATCTCCTCGCTTGCCCTGGAGCAGCAGAGGACCCGGCTGAGCCGTGGGCGGGGCCAGCCGCCCCCGGCCCCCGCNTCTGCGCAGGCCCACACGGACCCCTCGCAGGCACCCGTGTCCAGTTGCAGGTAACAAGCTGAGAGCCCAGGGTGTGGGCAGAGGCAGGGCTGAGCCTGGCCCCACCTGCGGGCCTGCCTTCTCCCTTCTCGCCAGGCTCCACACCAGGGCGGGGCTCAGCCCCTCCTCCGGTAGGGCCCCCACCGCCCCCGCCCCCGCCCCCAGGCTGGCCCAGCACCCACCTTGCGGTAGCCTTCGATCACCACCTTCTGTTTCTCAAACCGCTTGAAAAGGTCAGAGAACGACTTCTCCATGGAGTGCAGGTCTGCCGTCAGCTGCGCCTTCTCCTTCAGGACCTTCTGCATCTCGGCCTTGGAGAGCTCCTTCTGTTTCTGAGCCTCCTCTGGAGGAGAGACCAGCACCTCGGATCGGCGGGTGGCAGGGGGTCTGCCTCTCTCGGGACATCCCAGGGCGGACCCTTGGGGCTTCAAACGCTAAGAAAACAGCTGTCTCCACACCAGCTGCGCCCGGAAACCGAGGCAGCTGGCAGTGAGCCCAGACCTGTCCCAAACTCGGGGCTTCCAGGCCGGACATGGCTGGTGCCCAACATCCACGGAGGCCGCAGGGGGACGCACAGCCCCCAAGGTAGGGTGGACGCTGCAGCATCAGGGAAGGGACCCAACCTGCTCACCACCTCGTCCCGGAAGCAGGGGAGGGGGAGGGGAGGGGAGGGGCACTCACCCATAACCTGGTACACAGTCCCCTCATAGCTGTCCATGATCTTTCTGTGGGAGGGGAGGGGAGGAGAGCAGAGGCGTGAGCCGAGCGCCGCACGCATGCACGCACGCACCCACGCACACGGCGGGGCCGGCCGCACTCACCCCATCTCCAGGAGCCTTCCCTCCAGCGCCGTGCACTTGCCCTGCAGCGCCTTGTTCTCCTTCTGCGTGGCCTCCACCTGCGTGGGTACACGCCTGCGTTGGCCCAGGTCCCCCCCCCCCACCCGATTGGTGGATGTCCTGCGCTGGGGACACCTCCCGGCCTGGGCGGGGGGGAGGTGCTGGGCGCCGCAGGGTCCAGCCCCGGCCTTGTGCCATCACCCAGTGAGGAGGCTGGGGGGGCGTTCCCCCGGGACAGCGCAGACCCTCATGCCACGGGTTCTGTGACACGTGTGGGACGGAAACAGGAAGCCTGGCTGCGAACCGCCCCGTTCGGGCGCGGCGGGTGGAGCCTGTGACTGTGCCCGCCCCGTTCGGGCGCGGCGGGTGGAGCCTGTGACTGTGCCCGCCCCGTTCGGGCGGGGGGTGGAGCCTGTGACTGTGCCCGCCCCGTTCGGGCGGGGGGTGGAGCCTGTGACTGTGCCCGCCCCGTTCGGGCGGGGGGTGGAGCCTGTGACTGTGCCCGCCCCGTTCGGGCGGGGGGTGGAGCCTGTGACTGTGCCCGCCCCAGCCCCGCGCTCACCGCCGTGTCCAGGTCCTTCTGGCTGTACTGGAGCACATCGACGATCGGCCCCACAGGCAGCAGTGGGGCACCGGGCCTGAGGTCACACGGAGCAGGGCCGGGCGTCTGCGGGAGAGACCGGCAGGGCTGTGAGCTCCCCCACGCAGCCCTCCGTCCCACCGGCTCCCCACAGCACAGCGTGGCCAGAGGCGGCCCCTCGGCCCCCACCCACCCCCTGAAGCCTTCAGATCTGCAGCACATGAAAGCCGGGCCCTTAGAACAAGAGTGTCTCTAAAGCAGCTGGGACGAAGCACTTACGGGAATGCCCAGGGCTCCTGGGAAGTCCAGGTCAAGCAGCTGGGCCTCCGGGGGGCTTCCAGAGGAAGGCGCGTCCACACCGCGAGCACCGAGACCAGGAGAGAAGCTGCCTGCCGTCTGCGTGCGGCCGGGGCTCTCCTCGGAGGCCAGGGGGCCCGTGCTTAGGACAGGTGGGCCCCTCGGCCCGTCAGGCGGCCCGCCTCTGCTGTGGGCACACAGGAGCACGCCGGCTCACTAACTAGGCCCCGGGGCAGGCCGGCCCCGCTCCCGCCCCCGCCCCCGCCAGTCCTTGCCGCTGGCTGGGCATACCTGCTGGGTGCCAGCGCCCAAGGACTGTCCTGCAGGAGCGGGTCGAAGTTGAGGTACAGTGACTGCTTCCTCAGGGCTGACTCTTTAAACTGAGAGGGAGGGAGCAGGGTCAGCAGCGTCCCCAGCATGCCTGCCTGCCCTGTCCCTCGGGGGAGCCCTGCCTCTGCGGGGGAGCCCAGCACACAGGAGATGCCTCTGGGGCCTGAGCCAAGTGGGCCAGGGGCTGGGGGTGGGGTGCACTGAGCAGAGTGGCTGCAGCAGGGGCCTGGGGTGACCGCCTCCAGGGATGCAAAGCCTGCCCCTGGTCAGCAGGGCTGAGGTGACGCTGGGTACTCACCGAGGACGCCCCAAACTGCTCCAGGTAGTCCACCTCGGCCCCTGCGCCTAGGACTGAGAGGGGGTCAGCAGCCGCCCCCCGCCCGCCACGGGCTGCCCGCCCCCCATGGGCCTCGGGTGAGACACGGCCAGGTCAGCCATGTGCCCCCCAGCCTGGCACTTGGCCACGCACAGCACCCCTTCCTGGGCTCCTGGACCAAGCACCCTTTGCTATAGAGCAAGGTTGCTCAGGGTGCCTGGGGCTGGAGGGTTCTGGGGGCGTGCTGTGCACCCCGGGGGTGTCATAGAAATGTTCCTTGGGGACCAGGTTGCCCTAGTTGAGAACCACCATGGGAGGGCCTTTAATATTTGATAATCCGAACTCTGCTTAAAAAAAACCCAAGGGTGACTCACGCCATAGACAAAAAACTTAAATTGACACCAAAAGCCCAAGCAGCAATAGAACAAATTGGGTTTGAAAGTGGACACATGTGCTTCTGAAGACACCATCAAGAAAGTGAAGACAGTTTTTGCAAATCATGTACCTGACAAGCAATTCTTATCTGGATTATATTAGAAATCGGTATAGCATAATAAAAAAAACAGTTCGAGTAAAACCAGGCAAAGAACCTGAGCAGATGAAGGTCAGGAGCACGCACACCGCTCAACATCAGGGAGCAAACCCCCCAGGCAGCCACCCCGCCGGGCGGCGGCTCCATAAGCACACGGGGTGGGCCCCCGGGCCTCCGCCCAGAGGCAGACACGAGAGCACCTCTCGGGTAGCCCGCTCCAGAAGGCCAGAGCAGCCGGCAGGAGGAGACCAGGCGCCGTCCACAGTGGGGACGCTGCTCGGCCAGGAGAGAAGCCCTGACTCACCCTGACCTGAGGCAGACAGTCACACACAGTGACATGTGACGCCAGGGCCCCTGGGGCAGAGGGAGGCGCCTTCCCGCTCCCAGCCCTGAGGGCACAGTGAGGACCCCACAGAGACCCCCCCCCGAGCGGCCGCGCTAGGGCGGCTCAGCCTGCACCCCAGGATGGGCGGGCGGCCCCCTCCTCCAGGGGACTCGATTCTCACAGCCCTTCCCAGCTCGGCGGCCCGCCACCCCCTGCGCCCATGCTGAGGGTGGCGACCACGTACCCTCCACAGGGTCCCGGAACTGCTCCCCACTCAGGTCCAGGGTGGGCTCCGGCCCCCTCTCGGTGGGGGGCGTGGGGTTGGTGGGTGCAGTCGGTGGCTCGCTGCGTGGGCTGCCGAGGGGCGCCGACCCCCCCGAAGAGCCTGCGGTCCCCTCCTGAAAGGGAGGCCGGGATCACTGCGGGGCTGGCCGAGACGAGGGGGTGCGGGGGAGCATGGGCAGCGGCGTGCCCACTCCTCCCAGCCAGCTTCCCTCTGCCTGCGACGCCCCGCAGACGTGGTGCCCGCGCCCGTACCTCACCCGCCGCTCCTGGGGTCCTTGTCCCGGGTGTGTCATCTGGGCACGCCTGCCTGGAGAGACGGGGTCAGCAGGGCCTGAGCCCACCCCCAGCTCTGTGCTGCCAGGGTCCTGCGACCCCTCCCCTAGAAGCCAGGCTCAGGGCCACATCGGGGGCCCCACAAAGCCACCCCCACAACCTTGCCTGCACAAGAATCGCTCCTCAGAAGTGGGCAAAGCACCCTGAGTTCATTTCAACTCAAGTAAAAGCAAAAATAAGTGAATCCTGTGGTTACTAGGAAATGGCAACAGCAGCCAGCTTGGGAGGCTGGGGCCCAGGCTTGGCACTGCACACCCCTGGGAGTGGGCGGCGGGAGGCAGGTTCACTCTGGGAGGGAGACGCGGCGCTGGGGGTATTCCTGGACCTTCTAGAGGCGCAGACAGCCCTCCTGGACTGCATGAGCACCCTGCCCATCCCCGGGGGCCCCACGGCAGAGGGATGCTTCCCCGCTGGTCCCCAGGGACTGCAGTGGTGCCCCCCCCCCCCCCAGGGCCCCCACCTGGGGAACACATGGCACCTCTGGTCTCACATCTGCCCTGAAGCAGACGACCCGCCACTGCCAGCCCATGCTCACCGTCTCAGTGACAAGGCCTCTGCAGTCTGGCCGCTCTGGGGGTGCTCCGGGGGCTGGGCCTCTCCACTGTCCACGGCCGGGTTACAGTCTGGGTCATCTGGCTTGTCCCAGCTTGGGCCGTTGGACTCATGGAGAGCGAGCTCGCAACCCTTGCCCGCCTCCTGGGGGGCCTTTCCGGGCCTCGCCTCTGGTCTCCTCGAGGGGGGCTTGAGACCCAGGGTCTTCCCTCGCTTCCGCAGTGGGGGCGGCCTTCTGCTGGTGGCGTCAGAGAAGTCAAACTCCAGCCGGATGGGTCCGCTCCTCAGAGAGCCGGCGGCCTGGCCACCGGCCTCCTCCCTCCGAGCACCAGCGTGTGTGTCCCCTGCAGCCTCTCCGGGGCTGGTCAGGGCCATGTTCTCGCTGCCAGCAGCATCCGTGGGGCCCGTGGGGCCCTCTCTAGGCAGGTCCATGAGGGGCTTTTCTCCAGGGTGGGCACCAGAGGGCGAGGTGGGCCCGGCGGGGGGAGCAGGGACGCCCTCCGAGTCCCCTCCCGTAGTGCTGAGCAGGTCCTCTGCCGTGTCCCGGAATGCCACCCTGGGGGGCTGTTCTGGAGCCGCGGGGCCGAGGGGCATGCTCTCCTCTGAGGGCCGAGGGTGGATGTGCTCCTCCCGGGCGCACTCGGGGCTGCCGGGCGCTGAGCCTTGGGAGGCCTCGGGGCTTTCCACACTCTCTGGGATCTGGGAAGAGCTTGAGGGACCCAGGCTGACCAGGGGAGCTGAGGGGGGCCCACCAGGAGGCTGGTCTTCGGAGGCTGGTCTCACGTCCTCTGAGGGGGGCTCGGCGTTGGCCGGTACTGGCTTCTGGAGAATTCCATGGGTCGTTTTGGTGTCTCTCTCCTTGGTGAACTGTTGGCTTTTCAGAAAACAAACTTAGTTAACACTAAGGAACCAGTTAGGACTTTAGATTTTAGTCCATGTGAAAACATTAAATACAGAAATAAGCATTCTGTCAACGTCCTCCTTGGGATCAGCTTTCACAAGAACATCCCCACAAGTAAGCGTTGGCGGGCCCTGGAGACACAGGTGACAAGAGCAGAAGCCTGACTGCCGACGGTCAGAGTTGAGCTTCCCCACACCAGCCCACTTCCCCCTTCTGGCTGGGGACCACCGGCTACGTGGTCAGGGACAGTGCACACGAGGGTCAGCCTTCCCACTGGAGAGAGAAAGGCCAGGTTGAGGCTGCGGCCTTCAGGAGGAGCAGGACCCCGGCTCCCCGCGGCTGAAGCAGCTCAGAGCCGGCGTCTCAGCAGCTTGGCCTCCCTCTCCTCTTTAGGCTCTGATGAAACGACAGTATTTGACTCACTCTGATCTCATTCAGCTGAATTTCAAACAGAAAAGTAAAAACCTGAAGTTGAAAAGCAGCAAGGAGACCTGGGTAGAGGGGAGTCAGGTGCAAGGAATTTCCACCCAAGGGGAGGTGGAAATGCTGCCTGGGGACATCTTACTTGAGCGAGAGGTGAAGGGTATGCTAGAGATATTTTGCTTTTATACCTTTCTCTGCACATCTAAAATCTGTTTAAAAGAAAAAGCAAGCTTTAAACTGTGTAAGTCGGCAAAGTCAGAATGAGGCTGACTTTTATGCCAGCGAGGACCCTTCCCACTCTGGATTCAGTGGGTCCCTTGGGGGCACTTCGCTGGGTAAATTCAGCCAGATCTGGGGAGCAAAGCTGCCACCAGAGTCCCTGTCTTCAGACAGAGGCAGGAAAGCCCAGGTTTTCACTGAGCTGACCACCACACCCAGCCAAACACCTAATGCCAGGTGAGGCTGCAAAGACGCGCCTGCTGGTCAAAGCCAAGTGTTTCCAACCGGATTCGTCAGACTGGATGGCATAACAGCCAGCTCCTGTGCCTTCAGCAGCAAGGCCTGTCCATGGTCCTCTCCCAGGCTCGCTGTGAGCACAGGAGGAGACTCCTGAGAGGTGCTGACACAGCAGCAGAGCCACAGAGCGTCCCTCTCTGGAGATTCAGCCAGGGCACTTCATGAAGTTAGAGGAACAAAAACCAATGTCAATTTGCTGGCAAGGGCACAACAGAGAAGCAGAATGTAAAGTTCACACCTGCTCTGTTTCATTGCTCCCTTTTCCAGTAACAAACGATTTCGGAGGTGCTCTGGGCCACGCAGGACACAGAGCAGAGACCAGGAGGAGCCTAACCGGATGTGGCAGACTCTGCGAACAGAGCTTTTCTGCCGAGTCCCTGAGGCTATGGGCGGCAGTACATCAAACAACCCCACACTTACTTCTCTTTCTGGGGACAGACTTGATGGCAGTTTTCTAATCCAGTGGGGTCGCCCAGAGCAAAACAGGCTTCGAGCTTGCTGCCCACGCTGGGACTTAAGATCCTGTGTGTCTGTGGGTCCCGCAGAGGTGTTTGAAAAGTCACCTGTTGGGTAGAAAAGAGGGCACCTGTTCAATAATTCAAGTCTTTGACACCCCTCTGGCAGCACTGTGCCCTGCCCGAGCAGCTCGGTAAGTTGCCAGGAAAGCAGTGGCAGGGTGACCTCTCGAGGGATACACGGTAGATCAAACGCAGGGGCCCAACGTGCTTACCTTCACAGCTTTGGCTGTGCTCTTCGGTGGCACATTCTCTTTCTGTGACAGACGGAGAACAGATGATCTTCCGGTAAGTTCCGGTGGTGAAAACAGGAAGTCGCAATTTTCTGTACTTTTGTCACCAGTGACATTTTCGTCACTGAAGATATGCAGACTCATTCTGGAAAAGCAGATAGTTTGGTGTCAGGAGGAGGGCAGTGACCCTCTGTTATCTGGACGCTCATAGGTGACAGTGACAGGGCTGGCCCCACGGTGCTGCAGGGAGATGTCCCCCTTCGGCACAGGTGGGTCAGACCTCAGGCCGTGTGTCCTCTGCCAGGCAGTCCCCATCCTGCTCCGGGGGAGCTGCCACCTCCCAGGAGTAACAGCCAGAGAAGCCTTCAGCTCACAGGGCAGGAGGGAAGGTTCAGGTGATTAAAAACCACTTGAACTTTGTGGGGAAAAGTTCAGAGACAGATAAGGGCTGATCTGTGATGAAACTGAAGCAGCAGAGGAAGCCTGGGCCCCTTCATCAGGTGGAGCAGCTGCCAAGTTTGTGGAGAACAGAAACGCAATAGGGCCCAGCAGCACAGCCGAGGAGCTGGAGAAGGGAACAAGCAGCAGGTGTAGAGTCACCTGTGGGGAGTTGAGTTTCTCCATCAGGGGCCTCCAGTCAGGCCCAGGGGGTTCTCATTCCTCCTTCCGGAGGCCCTCATGATGGTCAGTGCCACGGCATTCCCAATTTAGGAGTCACCAGAGAACTGGGCATTCGCCTCACGGGGACACTACAGGTATTCACTGGCGGTGGGGACCCTGGGGACTGTGGTTGAGGAGGCCAGGTGGCTGGGGCAGGGGGAGAAAGGATGGCTTGAAAAAGAGGTGAGGTCAGGGTGACAAGCCACCTCGAAAGGCTTGGGGGTAGGGGCCGCCTGTGGAGGACAAGAGGGGTGGGGGGGGCGGAGTCAGAGGCTCTGGCACTGGGCCAGGGGCAGCCTGGTCAGCTCCTCTTGGCAACAGGCTCACACACTGCATGGGGAGACGGGAAAAATGAGCCTGAGCCAGGGGCCACTCACTGTGAGGTTTGGCCTGAACAACTGGGTAAACAGGGGAGGGGGCTGGATGGCTGCAGGACACAGGACGGATAGAAGACTTAGAGGATGGCTTTTCGGCAGACACCCCTTGGCCTGGGGAAGGTGCGAGAACAATGACGGTAGCCCTCCGCAGTTTGGCTTCTACTAATAATGAGTGCTTCTGCTCAAGAGAAGGAGTCTTTTGAGCAGAGGAGGGTTGGCCGGGGAGGCACTGGGGACCTAGGGTGAGCGGGGTCTGCGGAATCAGGTGCCCCAGGAGTCGACGATGGGTCCGGGTGGGGCTGCACCCAGAGGGGCGGGGATCGGGAGGCGAGCGCTGGACGCTGGGCAGCGAGCGCGCGTGTACTCAGGCTCGGAGTCACCGGGCGTCTCGGGAGGCGGGGGCGGGAGCCCATCTGCTCTGCTCCCGGTTGCGGCCGGGTCGGCGGGATGAGGGACGGCGGGAGGGGACCCTGAGGAAGCGGCGGGAGAACGGCCCAGACCGCGAGGAGGGCGGAGCCGGAGGCGGCAAAGGCCCCGGTCTGGGGGGGGGGCTCGCCAGCGCGGCAGGCAGATCCAGGCCGACAGAGCCCTAAGGCCCGGCTAGAGGCATGTCCGGACCCCCGAGCCGGGAGCCCACCGCTGCCACCGTCGCCCCCTTACCTGTCGGCCGGCACAGAGCCCAGGGTGGGAGGCGCCGAGTCCGCGAGCCCCTCTGCCCGCCGCCGATTCAAATACCGACGGTTGGCGAGAGCGGCCAATCAGCGCGCGACTGAGGCGGGGCACGGGGCACCGACAGCCAATGGGAGGCAGAAGGCCAGACCACGCCCACTAGGAGGTTTCGTTTCCGGGGCGAGGGCAGGCTGGGCGAGGCGGACGCCGGATTCCTCAGTAAAGGCGGCCCGCCTGATGCGCCTAGAGGAAAGGCCGCACGCGGGTGGGTGGTGGCTGCGGAGCCCGCCGTCGCCCAAGAATCCCGGGCTTTGCTGCGGACGCGCCTGGGCTGCGCGGAAATCAGGGCCCGAGAGCCTCTCCCCTGAGTCTTAGTTTCCCCAGGTGGGCAATGGGATCGAGAGCAGCACCGCCCCCAAGCGGGTCGTGTGGAAGAGCCAAACCCTCGCGAGAACTGTAGCGGCGACTCGCGAAGTGGGGGCCGAACGAGGGGCCCGGGAACTTCATTTCCCAAAATACTCCGCGGAACTCCATCTCCCAGAGCGCCCCGCGAGTGCCCCGAGGGCAGGGACTCCGTTTCCCAGAGCGCCCCGCGCCACCGGGCGCCTACCGGACCCGGACGCTGTGGCCGGTTCGCTGCGCTGGGTGGCGGGCCTCGCCTGGCCGGTTTCCCGGCGGCGACGGCGGCGCGATGGACAGCCCCGAGGTCACCTTTACGCTGGCCTACCTGGTGTTCGCCGTGTGCTTCGTGTTCACCCCCACCGAGTTCCACTCGGCCGGGCTCACGGTGCAGAACCTGCTGTCGGGGTGGCTGGGCAGCGAGGACGCCGCCTTCGTGCCGTATCACCTGCGCCGCACGGCCGCCACGCTGCTGTGCCACTCACTGCTGCCCCTCGGTAAGCCCAGGGCCGACCTCCGGGACCCGGAGCGGGAGGGACGGGGGGCGCCCTCCCGTGCTGGAGAGCCGAGGCAGCGGGCGGAGCGCCCGTGTGCTCGGGGAAGTGCTGCCCCTTGGAGCTACCCGGCAGAGAGGCGGGCTCAGAACGCTGGGGAAGGGGGTGCTCTGCTCACTGGGGCAGGTGGTGAGCTGGCTCTCGGGGGACAGGTCCCTAGAGTCGGGGTATAAGTTAACTGATGCCCCTAGGGGTGGCCTATCCCAATCCTTGGAAGGTGGGTGCGGGAATGGCAGGCAGAGAGGGTGACGGCAGTCAAGTGTCATTTCCGCCTCCAGGGGATCTTCCTGACCCAGGGATCGAACCTGTATCTCCTGCATTGGCAGGCTGGATCTTTGCCACTGAACACTAGGGAAGCCCCCCCCACCCCAGCCTTTTTTAAAAAATATAATTTTATTCATGGATGTGCTGGGTCTTCACTGTTGCGCGAGGTCTTTCTCTAGTTTCGGAGAGTGGGAGATGCTCTGCTGCAGGCCCTGGAGCACCCAGGTTTCAGTAGTTGTGGCTCCGGGCTTAGTTGCTCCGCAGCATGTGGAATCTTCCTGGACCAGAAATCAAATCCATGTCCTCTGCATTGGCAGGCAGATTTTTATCCACTGCACCACCTGGGAAGTCCTAGAAAAGCCCTTTTATTTATTGCCACATGAGTTACTTATTATGTTTCAGTTTGATCAATAGCATTTATTACTGTGTTCACAACTCCAAACCTTTCCTGCAGGTCACTGTCTACTTTGTTAATTTTGACATGCAAGTTGGCCCCCATCTGGCCACCAGGGGCCTGGAGCTGGCTCCTGTGTGCCTGTGACACGCTCTTGTCGGTCTTCGTTTACTGTCTGGTACAGGATGTCCCAGGTCTGGGGTGGGCCAGACTCTGGTCTGCTTCCTCAGAGCAGGTGGGATCCGGAGGCTGAGATCCAGGCCTAGGACGGCCTGTGGGCAGCTCCGCATGAGGTGACACCAGATCCTTGTGCTTCTTTTTGCTTTTCTAGGATTTTCTCATTTTATTTCCTCTACTCGTATGTGGTTTGTAGAAAACTAAAGTAGTAAGATGAGAATGTTTTCTGCTCACTGCACAAGTACTCAGTTGAGTCAGCTATGGAGCTGGGCAAGGCCCACCTGCCCTGGGGCACCATGGCCTTGCCTTGGGAGCTGGCCATGGCAGAGGACCAGACCCAAGGTTGGGGATTAAAGGAAGAGGCCTCCCCAGAACCCCCCCAAGGGACAGGGACAGCACTGTGGACATGACCTGGGGAGGCTGGCAGCCTGGTAGTCCCAACCTCTGCTGAAGCTTGCCCCATCCCTTTTAGGCTACTATGTGGGCATGTGCTTCGCAGCCTCGGAAAAGCAGCTGTACTACCCCAGCCAGACCCCGGAAACCTGGAGGGCCTTCCTCCTGCTAGCGTTGATGCTGCCCGCTATCGCCTGCACCCTGATCTACTACTGGTCCCGGGACCGGTGGGCCTGTCACCCCCTGGCCCGCACCCTGGCCCTCTATGCCCTTCCACGGTCGGGCTGGCGGGCGGTGGCTTCCTCCGTGAACACGGAGTTCCGGCGGATTGACAAGTTTGCCACGGGGGTGCCAGGTGCCCGCGTGATTGTGACGGACACGTGGGTGATGAAGGTGACCACGTACCGTGTGCACGTGGCCCAGCAGCAGGACGTGCATCTGACCGTGACGGAGTCCCAGCAGCACGACCTCTCCCCAGACTCGAACCTGCCCGTGCAGCTCCTCACCATCCGCGTGGCCAGTGCCAACCCTGCTGTGCAGGCCTTCAACATCCGGTAGGCGGGCCTGCGGCTGGGGTCGCTGGGGTGGCTGCACCCTTGGTCTGCTCTTTGTGTTGCTCCAGGGGGCTGGGTGGGTGGGAGCTGCTCCCTCTGGAGTGCCCCTCCCTCAGGTCCTCTGCGTTTCCCCTTTCTTCCCAGCCTGCCCTGAGCTGTCTTCCCGGCGTCTCGGGAGGAGCGCACTGGGGCTGTTTGGGGGCCACTGTATAGGACGGAGGCTTGGTGGCTCCCTGGGCCGGGGCCAAGGTGCTTCTGTCTAGTTCAAGCTGTGGCGGGTCTGCCCGCCCCTCCTGGACCCGACTTGGCCTGAACCTGCCGAGGGCCAAGCCCTCTGCCGTAGCTGCAGTTCTCCCACCCTCTGTGCCCCTCCCCACGTCCCGAGGAGAGGCCCGTGGGCAGTACTGGGTCAGTTGGCACTGGCCCCACGGCCATCTCTAGTGGTCCCCGCCCAGCAGCACCCACCTCTACAGGCTGAACTCCACGGAGTACGGCGAGCTATGTGAGAAGCTCCGGGCGCCCATCCGCAGTGCGGCCAACGTGGTCATCCACCAGAGCCTGGGCGACCTCTTCCTGGAGACCTTCGCCTCCCTGGTGGAGGTCAACCCGGCCTACTCGGTCCCCAGCAGCCAGGTAGGGGGCTGGGCAGGGGAGGTGGGTTCTCACAGCTGGGCCGCCATGGACCGCCTCTCCTGGGGTGGGTCAGGAGCCCCATCCCCAGGGCGGCCCAACTGGGCTTCCTCTGACCACCTGGCCTGCCTGCAGGACCTGGAGGCATGCATCGGCTGCATGCAGACTCGGGCCAGCGTGAAGCTGGTGAAGACCTGCCAGGCGGCGGCCGAGGGCGAGTGCCAGCAGTGCTACTGCCGCCCCATGTGGTGTCTCACCTGCATGGGCAAGTGGTTCGCCAGCCGCCAGGACCCGCAGCGCCCCGACACCTGGCTGGCCAGCCGCGTGCCCTGCCCCACCTGCCGCGCTCGCTTCTGCATCCTGGACGTGTGCGCCGTGCGCTGAGCCCCCTGGGGGGACCCTGCGGCTGCCTGCAGGGGCAGATGGGCCTCTGGGCCCTCCTCGGTGCTGCTGTGGGTGGCTTCGGTGTGGCGACTCACTGGTGCCCCGAGGCTGCAGAAGGGCCCGGAGCGGCAGAACCTTTCTGCTGAAGTTCAGTCCCTGGCAGCGGGGTGGTCTTCAGCACCTCTGCCTCCTTCACTCTGTGTTCTTCCGACGAGGGGGTCAGTGCTGGGCACACAGAACATGGTGTTGGATCCATCTCCAGAGCATTCTGGGGCCGCCGAGCTGTGTTCTGGGCGACCCCTTTGCCCCAGATGACCCTAACCTAGCCACTTGCCTTAAATGTATGGGGCACAAAAGTCTTAACTGCTCCTCAATTACACGACAGACCTGGATTCGTCTAAGACTGCAGCCTGTCATGCTTCCGTCCCCAGGCTGGCTGCTGGCCCTGTGGCATGGACGCCCTCCACTCCCCACGAGGCCGCTCTGAGGACCTGGTGCAGGGTCTGGTTGTGGAGGGCACGAGCATTGCCCAGGATCTCCTGGTGATCGCAGCCAGCCAAGGGCTCCCTCCTGGGGAGGGTGGCCCCTATCTGCCCCCTACCCAGGGCCACCTCGGGCTTTCCATCAGGGGCTGTTTTCACCTGCCTTTCCCTTAGCCGAGTGCATGTGGGGCTACCCACCCCTTCGAGGGGCCTGTGACCGTGTGCCTTCTGGTGCTCCCACGAGTCCAGGGAATGGGCTGTCTCAGACTCCTGGTTGCACGGCAACATCTTGTGTCCAGACAGCAAGATGGCGGGGGCCCAGCACGAGGCTCCCCGCAGGCCCACCCACTTCAGAAGGGAAGTGCCCCGTAGTCAAGGCAATGACAGCCATCTTCCCAGTTCTTGGTGGTGAGGTGGGGTGCAGGGAGGAAAGTGTTAGGCTCCTGGGTGCAACTCAATGTGGCTGTTGGCGGGGCCCTAAGCCTCCTAAACTTGGTCCTTCTAAGTAGGTTAGATGGAATCAGCTGGCTCAACTCGCCCGAGGCTACACCAAGCCCAGGGATTTGGAAGTGAGCAAGCCCAGATTTATGGTCTTCCGGGGGCACCCACAGGGGACAGCTATCAGAAGGGCAGCCAGGAGCCATGCCCGGCCTCAGCCTGGAATTTCAAACCCTGGCAACGGAGAGCCAGGCCTGGGGTTGTCTTTTCTAGAAGAGAAGGTTACTTAGTTTTATAAAGATATATCTATTGTAGCAAAGTGATATGCTATTGAATAAAATGTTAGTATGAAGTTATCAATATTTTGTTTTTCCTGGTATTCAAACAGTTGGGGCGAGGCCATCTTAGAAGTGGCCAC